CCTCCTCCTCCTCCTCCTCCTCCTCCTTCTCCTCCTCCTCCTCCTCCTCATCCTTCTCCTCCTCCCCCGGCCTGGCCAGGATCGGTATTAAAGTATGGCTGGCGTTCCCCGAAGGTGGTGATGGTGATCAACCCGGACAGTGCGGCTTCGACGTACTACCAGTTCGAGTGTGATCCGGTCATCAACAAGGAAGGCGCGGTGTTCCGCGATGTGTTGGACGGGGATGTGTTTCAGACCTTCAAGGTGCAGATCCGCGACAATAGGTGCTTACTGACACCAGAGAAGTACACGGACGGGAAGATCGAGCCTTACACAACACGTATCCTCATTAACGAGGACAAGTTGGTTAAGAAGGACGGTGGCGTACATTACCATCCTGATTGCGACGGTATGGCGTTATGCAGCGCGAACTTCGACGAATCAATGTGTGCACCACCTGAAGCAAATTTACAAGCAAGAGCTGCGACAGCTTGAGGCGATATGTCTCGAGTACGAGCCAAGGACAACATCATTGCTCCTACACCACATGACGACCCGCCATGTATGCTCATACATGAATGTGGCGCCTTTGGGCACATCGTGGCAAGTGGCAGCAAAGATCACGTTTGCAGTTGTTGCAAGCGTTTTTCCTGTCAGTGCAGCTTCGCGGCGTGCTCGCATTCATGCTCGTCAACTTGTGCGGCGGCGCGGGGTCCTGAATCACGCGCTCACCTGCTTGAGTTGCCTGGGCGTGCCTGAAAGACGAGCGAATGATGGGGGGAGGGCAGGAAGGAGCGCAGGGTTGCGGCCAGGGGCGGCGGTGGCAATGAGAGTACGAGGCGAGAGAGGTAAAGAGAGAGAAAGAGAGAGAGAGAGAGACAGAGCGCGAGAGACAGAGAAGCGCTCCATTCTTGACTACTCTCTGTCTATCTGTCTCTCTCGCTCTCTCTCTCTGTCCCTTCCTCTGCTCAACTTTGCTCTCCACTATCAGACATGTACTCTTCACTCTTTACGACTTACTCTATCATTCTGACCGTGATCGCAAGGACCCGGGCATGGTGCCGCCACCAAAATTTCGAGGACCCGGGAACCTTCGAATTGGGAACCTGGAAACTCAGCCGCCCACCGTAATCGGCTTTCCAGCCCGGAACCCGGAACGCGGGAACCCAGTCCTGGTCGCCTACCGAGACCGGCCCGCCATGTTCACCTAGTCTATCAATATCCGTTCGGGCACTTCCAGTGCAATCGCCGATTTGGGAATGATGGGGAATGCTGTTTGAGGATGCGTGATGCTAGATTTTGTTGCGCAGCGTTTTGCTGCGCGTTGCGATACAATGTTTTGTCATGCAACGGTATGATGCGCTGACAGTTTCATACGGATTCGACACTCGACAAAAGTTGTTTGAGGAATTATGCAGCTGCTGTTTAGAATCAGCGTAGCCGCTATCTTAAAACCTGGTCGTAGCTGTTCAAAATGTCTGTAACATTTTTTTCGAAACTACGGAGCGTTCGTGTGAAACGGGAAAGCCGTGTGGAAAGTACGCCGTGGCGGCTGTTCAGAAATTTGAAATAATTGTTAAAGAACCACGTTGTAGCTGTTCACCGCTGTTTACACATCGGTAGGTAGCTGCTCATCGACTGGTGCCATGTCTCATGAGAAGCTATGCAGGAACGGCTTATCAGTCTTAGAACCGATTCACCAATGATTTAGCAACTTTATGGTAATTGCTCAGGCAAAAAAAAACTTCACAAGCTGTTTCGGTCTTCCCATGTTGCTGATGCATCAGGCGGTGATTGAGGAGGAGTGAGACACGGGAGCTGGACATGAAGAGGAGCGATGATGTGGGAGGAGCGTGGCACGGGATGGGAAGATTATGGGGGAGGAGTGTGGCACGATACGATGATGATGTTGATGATGACGGTGACGATGAAGATGACGATGACGATGTTGATGTTGATCATGATGATGATGACGGTACATATGATGATGGTGGTGGTGGTGGTTGTGGTGGTGATGATGTTGTTGCTGCTGATGCTGCTGCTTAGTATGATGGTGGTGGTGGTGATGCAGATGATGGTGTTGCTGATGGTGATGGTGGTAGTGATGATGTCGATGCGGGCGGTGAAGATGATGGTGATGCTGCTGCTGATGATGATGATGGTGATGAGGGCAAACGCATTTGCATTTGCTCATACAGAGATTGCGCGGTGTTCATTTGGAGGGCGCTTGCACGGACAAGTAGCAGCATCGTCATGTGGATTGCCAGCATGTGTTGCGTAGTGATATAGTCGCAGGCATGACTACATCACCACGTGTTATGGTCCTGTGTATGCACACAGTCAAGCACGAATGCAGAGCGCATGCGAATATCAAAAAGCCATGTCTGATAGCCATGATGTCTCATGCGCAGGAGAAACATGCATTTTTTGATTCTGAGAGCACGCAGGGCTCCAACGGCCGACCTGGCGCCGACTAGGCGTCGACTGGGTCACCCACTGAGGCATCGACTGGGCGCCCACGAAGCAGCGCCCCTGGCGAGTTTGCAAACACCGATGTGCCGACATGCGCCGACCAGGCCCCGACGAATTGCGCTTGCGAGCGCCGATGCGCCGACGAGGCGCCGACGACGAGGCACTCACGGCGAAGTTGCAATCGCCGACGCGCCGACATGCGCCCACTGGGCGCCGACTCAGATTCAGTAGGCAGTAGGATTCGAGTTTGCAAACAGCTCATGTGCCGACATGCGCCGCCCAGGCGCCAGCTACGGGCGTTTCCAGACATCCCATACGCCGACATGCGCCGACTGGGCGCCGACCTGGCGCCGACTACTGGCGTTTGCGAATGTCTGCAAACACCGCATGCGCCGACGAAGGCGCCGACACAGGCACTGGCGCCGACGAGGTACCGACTCTGGCGCCGACTAGGCGCCGACTCCAGGGTGTATGCTTAGAGTTGAGGCATACATGGCGCACCAGTGTTTGAAATCTTAAACAATCGGCGAGTAGTCGGCGCATCGTGGCTTCGACTCTCAGATAGTCGGCGCGTTGTCGGCGCCTCGGGGCTTCATTGCTCAAACAGTCGGCGCCTCGGCGTTGACAATCTGAGATGCTTGGCGCCATGCCCCCCCCGGAATCTCGATCGCTCTGCGTCTCGTCCCCGGGAGCCCCCCCTGGGAACTCTTGGTCAGCGTTGCTGTGTTGCTCTGGCCGCCCGCGAGCCGCCAGGGGGTGCCAGACCCGCCTGGCCCCCTTGGCCCCGGCGGCCGGCTGGTCTCCCAGCTGCGATCGCCTGACTGAAATAAATGTGGCCAGCCCCGTGTGGCGCCTGCCTTGCTCTGGACAGGCTGTTGCGATTGCATGTCCGATCCTTCCGCCGTCTCCCAAGGGCCCAAGGGGGTCCCGCCCCCGCCGCCCTGGATTGGTTTTGCAAGATCTGTACGTGCAAAGTGTAAATGCCATTTGTCCTCCTACTCTCCTCCCCCTCCTTCCCACCCTTCCTTTCTCCCTTCCCACCTCCCCCCTCGTCTATCTCTTTCTGCCGCCCGTTCTTTCTCTCTTCTTGCTACTCTTCCTCCCACTTCTCCTTCTCCTTCTCGTCCCCCTCCTTCTTAAAGAGCTCATGACTCACAATTCCTTCCTGTTTCCTATCAAACCGCCTGGCTCTGCATTTCGCATCACGTTCCCTCGGAATTCTAGTCGTACTCGCTGCTGCTCTCGCCAGAACTCAAAGCGCAGCACTTCCGGAATTGCGCAGATTGGGTGATGATCGTTTTTTACATGGCATTTTTGCCCTAGCTCCCTCAACAGTATTACGCCCAGAAACTACAATACACCATTCGACACTAGACTAGACCACACGGCTAAACTTCGGCAGAAAGCCGTATTTCACACAGTACCAAACGGCGAGAGACCAATATCATGTGTTTGGGGATTACACCTCGACCATCTACAAGACTGCAAATGACCAAGTTGCGAATCCTCAGTATCAGCAGTATCAAGAATTCATAGAATGAGCTCTTCCACCAAATTCCCCAATCACTGCTTGTACTAAAGGAGTCCGATTGGATATTGAAAGATTTGGGGAACGTGCCCTGCCGATTTCGATGGGTGGCCGGGTTCCCAGGTTCCCAGTTCCCAGTTCCGCGGTTCGGGGTTGCTGGTTCTTGGCCGATCTCGGTGGGCGGCAGGGTTTCCGGGCTTCCAGTTTTTAGTTCCCGGGTTCCTGAGTTCCCGTTCGATCTCACCATCGTTCTCACCATCCGTATCATTTCATCGATATCATTATCGATCTAACTACCGATCTCACTGCCGATCGCATTATTGATCTGTTTATCGATCTCACCATCGATATCACGATCAATCTCACGATCGGTCTCACGATCGATCCCACGATCGCTCTCACTATTGGTCTCACTCTCGATGTCATTGTCGATGTCGCCATCGATCTCACTATCGATGCCGCTCAATCGATTTCACTGTCGATGTCACGATTGAGTTCCCCATCCAGCGAACTGTCGATCTCACTCTCGATCTCACTCAATCGATCTCACGATCGATCGCACGATTGAGCACACGATCGGTCTCACGGTCGATTTACCTACCGATCCCATTCAATCGATCTCGTTCAATCGATCTCACGATCGATCTCATTATCGAACACACGATCGATCTCACGATCGATCTCACTCAATCTGCCTCACTACCAAGCTCACTATCGATTCCATTATCGATCGCAGCATCGGTCTCAGCTTCGATCGCACTCAGTGGATCCCAGTATCGATCGCACCGTCGATCTCACTATCGCCAGAAAAACACTGCACAGGATGTAGCATGGCGCCGGATACTCCCACGCCACGGGACAACATCGGGACACCACCGGACACCATCGGGACACCATCGGAACACCATCGGGACACCACCGGGACACCATCGGGCCATCGGGACACCATCGGGACACCACAGGGCAATTGCTGGCCAACCCGCGGGGCAGCAACGTTTGGTTCGGTTTCGCCCTGGCAACGGCGGGTTCAGTCCTCTCGCCCGCCCAGGCAGTCTCGCCTCGCCCGCCCGCACGACACGAACGTGAATCCGAAACCGATACCCCAATGGAGGGGTCTCTCCGTCTCCTTGCGACCTCACCCCCCAATCTCATATATATATATATATACAGTTATATCGGAGGTTGGGGCTTGAGATCGCAGTGAAACGGAGACCCCCCACCGGGAAATCGGTTTCGGTTTCGTGTTCGTGTCGTGCTTGCGGGCGAGGCGAAGCTGCGCGTGATCCTCCTGTAGCTAGGCCGAAGTAGGAGCGAAAGTCCGTTCCCGTCCGCCGTTGGCCGAGAGGTGTCCCAGTTGGGCCGGGCGGTGTCCCGGGTGTCCCGGGTGTCAGTAGGAGCGAAAGTCCGTTTTCCGTCCGCCGGTGGCCGAGAGGTGTCCCAGTTGGGCCGGGCGGTGTCCCGGGTGTCCCAGGTGTCCCGGGCGTCCAGGCGCTAA